CCGATCCGGGCCCCGATCCGGGCCCCGATCCTGGTTCTGGCCCCGATTCTGGTCCCGGTCCTGGCCCCGGTCCTTACCCGATCCTGGTTCCGCCACTGCGCGGGAGCCCGCGCGCTACCATAGCCCGTCCTGGGCCCGCCCCCCCGCGCCGCGACCAATCAGCGCCGCCCTCCGCCCCGGGACCGGCGGCGGGGAATACGCTCGGGAAGCGCCTGGACCAATCAGCGCCGCGCTCTGCTCCCTCCCCGCCTCCCATTGGCCCGCGCCGGGGCGGGGCTGGCGGCGCGGCCCGCACGTGGCGCCCGGGGCGCGGGTGACCTTGGCCGGGCCGAAAGGGGCGGGGGGCCCGCGGCTGTCACCCCTCTGCCGTCACCCCTCTGCTGTCACCCCTCCTCTGTCACCCACAACTCCAGCCCTGCCTGCCGTGTACCCCCAGGTGTTTCTCCCCCAGCCTTGTGGTGTTCCCACTGTCCTACAACTTCCCCTATGAGCCAAAGGATGGGGCACCTCAACACCCTGCACCGGGCAGGGAGCATTTCCAGGCACCCCCAAAACCCCCCCAGCCTGTCTCCAGGACAGTGTCTTCAGGACAGCTGGTGGTGCCAGGCCCTGGCACAGGTTGGGCACGTTGCTGCTGTTGTGGGGAGCAGAGCTGGCCCTGTCCCCCGTCGCAGCAGGGCACCCTGGTGCCCAGAAGGATTTCTGGGTGCTCAGGAGGGAGAGCTGCCAGGGGAATGAATGGCACAGGCAGGAGAGGGGCCGTGTTTTCATCATTCTTCAAATCTGAGTTAATGGGTGGGCTTGGCCAACCAGCCCCAGGGAACCTGCACCCTCTGGGTCTTCAGGGGTTAAATCAACACACCACAAATTGAGGAAGAAGATTAGGGCATAAGTGACCCTACTAAATTCCTCGTGATCCCAAGCCATGGGAAAATGGGGTGAGGCAGTGTGAGTCACCTTGGAGAGGAGCAGCAGAAGGGGACACAGTCAGGAGGGTGAGACCACCGGCTGCCAAGGAACAGCACTGTGAATCCTGCTGGGATCTGCCAAGGCAAGTGCCAGGATGAACAGGAGAGAGATGAAGAGGAGGGTGGGCTCAGCAGAGCATAGTGGTAAAGTGCCTATGGATACACTTGGATACAGCTCGGGTGTTACTCTGCACCTCCCTGGAAGAGGCTCAGTGAGGAAATAGTCTGTTAACATCATTGTTACCAGCCTAGATAGTTTTTGCTGTCATAATTTGTTACTGGTCATCCAAAGAGGACCCATCACAGTGCGGGGATCTGGGTTTCCAGAGTTTTGCTGCTGGCCCATGCTGGCTTGCTGCTGTGGACTGTTGATAAAGGTGTTGTTCTGACACTGACACCAACAGCAAAACTGGGTTTGGTTTCTCTGGTCGAGGTGGTTTCTGTGAGGTGCAGCTGCTCATGCTATAGAGGACTTTATATTAATTATAAATTCATTTATGTAATCTGGCTTTTCATACACATTTTGTGCACAGTTGCTCACAAATATTTCACCTCTCTTGAGCTGCAGAAAACAGATCTGTTGTGATTTCAGGTCTTGGCTTGCTAACGATGGACAGCACTTCTTCCCCTTCACCCTTCTCTGCCAGCTGTCCCACGGAGCAGCCTGAGAACGCCACTGACCATGACTACTACTCTGGCCTCCAGAAGACCATGCACATCCTCTCCATGGTGGTGTACAGCATCTCCTGTTTGCTGGGGGTAACAGGGAACGGCCTCGTCATTTGGATTGCAGGCTTCAAGATGAAGAAGACGGTGAATTCCGTCTGGTTCCTCAACCTGGCCATAGCTGACTTCATCTTTACCTTTTTCCTGCCCCTCAGTATCGCCTACACCGCCCTGGGCTTCCACTGGCCATTTGGGAAGCTCCTGTGCAAGCTGAACAGCACCATCGCCTTCCTCAACATGTTTGCCAGTGTCTTCCTCCTGACGGTCATCAGCGTTGACCGCTGCGTTTCTGTGGCCTTTCCTGTCTGGTCTCACAACCGCAGGAGCCCGGAGCTGGCGGCCAGGATCGCGCTGGGGACGTGGGTCCTGGCTGTCCTGCTCAGCTCCCCGTACCTCGTCTTTCGGGACACCGTGGTCAGTTCCAGGAACGTCACCAGCTGTTACAATAATTTTGCGCTGTCTGATGATTACACGTCCGAGGCAACGCGCAGGCTGTGGAGGGTGCGGCACAAAGCGATGATCATCACGCGATTCTTGTGTGGGTTCCTCATCCCCTTCGTGGTGATTCTCATCTGCTACAGCGTCGTGGCTGTCAAGCTGAAAAGAAGGCAGTTGGCCAACTCTGCAAAGCCCTACAGAATCATCATTGCAGTCACAGTCTCGTTTTTCCTCTGTTATTTTCCATATCATGTTTTCTCCTTGCTGGAAATATCCAAAAACTCTTCCAGCCATGAGATGAAACTGGCGCTTTACATAGGGATCCCCTTGGTTTCCAGCCTTGCTTTCTTCAACAGCTGCATCAACCCCATCCTGTACGTCTTTGTGGGGCCAGATTTCAAGGAGAAGTTTCGCCAGTCCATCCTGTCAACCTTTGAAGGGGCCTTTAGCGAGGAGTCGGTCCTGGGCAGCCTGACCAGCCGGCGAAAGTCCAGGTCTGCTTCGGAAGTAGAGATCCCGAGGGTCTGAGCAGGTGCTGGTGTGGAAGGGGCCTTTCTTTTCTCTACAATTTCCCTCATTTCAGAACTCAGATCATGGGACTGGGGACTGTGAAGGGCTGCACTTGCTAACGAGGTGTGATTTCGTGTTTTGGAGGTATCTCGAATATGCTGTGATTTAACATGGAATGGGAATGGAAGAACTCTCTGGAGCTGCAGCAAGGTGGGTCAAAGTAGCGGCATTTTACTCCTTGTGCCTTTTGACTCTTGTTTATGGAGCCTTTAGAAAGAAAGTTAAATGCAATGGCTGTATGTATAGGGAATGGAACAGTGAGTAAGACACTCATCTTTTCTCTCCTCAAGCAGGACAAATCAGTGGTCGTGCTGCTGTTACTCAGATTTGATTTGATGTACAGCATAACTATTTCTGAGCAATGCTCTGTGTTTGTCATGTTTGCAGCCCTTAAATAGCAGAGATCTGATAGTTTGTGCTGTTGGTGAATTAATATTAACCCCTAATAAACTTGTGTAAAACATACCCAGCCTGTTGTGTCACCTGTGGGATAAAATACTTGATCCAACCTGACTGAGCAGGTTCGTCTTTGGTAACAGAACAAGTAGATAAAAAGATTAAATATCTAGAATTTGGAAACAAACCACTGGTATTAGCAGCAGGTCTATGAGTGAGGCAGACAGGACATGACCTGGGTGTGAGGACTTGCCTGGGGCACATGGATCTGATTGCCAGACTGTGGTTATGGTTTATTGTTGAGTTTCAGACCTTTGGGTACATTTGAAAACCAGAATTGGGAGGAGAAAGAAGAAAAAGTGACTGAGCTGAGTCTGGTCATGCTTCATGTTTGCAAACTGCCCAGGATGAAGAAGGTGGGGACTTTCTTACAGGCTTCATAAGCCTCTGGAACTCTTATATTTTTGTGAGCAGAAAATGTTGGCCACATAACAGACAGCACTGAAGTGTCGTCATTCCCAGCCCATCCTTGGCAGCTGAGAGAGCAGTCACTGTATCACACCTCCCTCTCCTGCCCTACCCAATTTACCTGTAAATTAGTCCAATCTACCAGTTGTCCTGTCAGAAACCTGCCTTGGAGCCTCCCCACTCTGCTAGCTGGAAAATCCCTGACTCCCAGCCGGAATGTAGGAATTTACACGTAGCTCACAGCTCTGCATGGATGACGTTACGAGTGAGCGCTGTCACTCCAACATGCTGGGGATTAATTATGAGCCTGCTGGGCCATGCAGTATTGAATGAAGGTCGTGATCCTAAAGGCACACATGCACTTAACCTCACATTCATGCACAAACCCGCTGAGAACAGGGAATGGAACATGACCATCATCTGTCAAGCTTGAGTGAACAGAGCGATTTTAACCTTTGCCACAAATTGCTGCCTGTCATGCAGATAAAACTGCAATGTTTGCTATGCAGCATGTAACTCTGGGGCTATTTACTTGCTCCTGGAGGTAAACTACAGCATCGATTGCCATGTCAAGGTTGTGCAGACCCACGTTTGCTCTTTCTGGTTTTCCTTATCTGTTTGCAGAGTCCACGTAATTGTGACAAGAGTCTCTGTGAGTGTTGGACCAAGGCTTCAGACTCCTGTCTTGCCTCTCTCCTCAGTCATGGCAGCCTTGAAGGTCACGAGTTGAAGTGTTGACCCGGTTTGTGGTAGGAAAGAAAACAATTTTCCAGGTCTTTTGGAGATCCAAGGTGGCTACAGATTCCCATGGGACAACATGATTTAAGTGAAGCAGAGCATCTGGATGACCTAAGGAATTACCCCTGGAAAAGCCATTGGTAATGGAGCAGGATGAGCTTGAGACAGAGATGGATTTGTCATCTTGAGTCTGATCCCTGCCCTTTGTGCAATGGGAAACCGTGCTGACAGCAAGACAGGCCAGGCTGCCAAGGGATTGCTTCCAAGATAAATCTCCCATTGTATCAAGTTCCCTCATGTTCAGACTATCTCATTATCACAGGGATAATTGTCAGTCTCTCATTCCCAACTAGGAGGCAGTTCATTCTCTCTGATATTTCCACTTGCCATATGCTTATCTAGAAAAGCTTGAAGGAAAAAAGGGGGAAATCCTTTCCAACAGGCAATCGGAGGAGGCTGAACGGCTGCTTTGTCAGCTGTGCCCCGCTCTGACGCAGCTTTGCTGTCAATGCTCTTTCAGATGCCGTGGGATGAGTGGAACAGCCTGAACCTCCCAGTATTTGCAGTCATTGAGAAAGGTGCTGAACCCGCTGCCCTGCTGGTGTGAGGTCTCATTGGTCCTGCAGAGGGGCCGATCCGACAGCCCCGCTCCTACAAACAGCGGGCTGGGATGGGCAGAGCCACCGGGGTGTTCAGGGTCCAGGCACTGAGGTGTGTGTGGCCCAGGCTATGCTGAGAGAACAAGCAAGCTTTTAGCAAGAATTTAAGTCAGAGATCTCACCAGGAGTAGCTGTTGCTGCCTTGCTTTGGAGGAGAGACTGTTGCAGGTGACTCTAGCTGGGAGAAGCTGCAGAGATGTCAGGGAGGAAACCAGGCAAGGAGGACGTGGCAAGCGGTAACAAAAGAGGAGAAAGCATTTTCTCCCTGGCACCTGGATGGCAGCAGGGAGGTAAAAACTGGGTTCAGAATAGTTACAAGGAAAGAGGAAGGAATGGGAGCTAAGACAGCCTTGAAAGTACCAGCAGCAGGCTAGTGAATGCAAATGAATGGGAGGGACACTGCAGCAGGTGAGGAAATCCTCATTAAGGAGAGCTTAATGAGACAGTAAAAGCCTCTGGGAAGCCTCACAGTCCTCACACCTCTTCTCTGGTGAGACTTCCCTGGTGAGTAAAATTTTTAAGTATCCTGCTCTTGAACTTGGGTAATTGACTTGTTTGATGAGGTCAAAGACAGTGCAGGGGTCTGAGAGCAGAGTCTCTTCCAGAGCTTGCTGAAATCAGGCGGGAAATAATCCAGGGAGTTAGAGGAGAGGTTCTGGTAGAAAGCTTCTCTGTGAAGGAGATGCTGGTAATGGTATCAGTAAGTGGGGTAGGCTGAAGAGACCTGGGTAAGGCTCAGCCTTTTTTTGGTGTAGCAGCTGGGTGAGGGTCCCACTCCCAGCACGGGCATTAATCTGCTCTTGCTGATCCAGGGCTGCTCCTGCTTGGCACCAAACTGGGGAGGACACAGGCTACTCTTTGCTGGTTGCCCTTTGCTGCTTCCCTGCACCTCTCCCAGCTCCTGCTTAGCGTAAGGGCCAAGGCTGGTACCAAATCTTTCTTTGCGCCTTGCAGCTGTGCAGGCAAAGCACAGGAGCTGCTCTTGTACACTGAGTTCTGCTTTCATCTGCAAAGTGTCTCTCCAGTGACCGAGTCAAGCCCTTGCTGTGCCCACTGGATGCCTGCACAGGGCATGGTGCCTGTGTGCTCTCTGGAGAGGAGGTGCAGCTTAGTGAGGCAAATGGCAAATCATGCTGGGACCCAGCCGGTAGGACAAAGAGGAACAGAGCACTAATTAGTGTTTGTCACGGACTGTGTAGCTGTTCAAATTCCTAAAATGACACGATTTCACTGTCCAGTCCAACCAATTTTGCCTAAAGGCCATTCAAAGGGCAAACCACACCCATAAACATCAGGTGATGGACGTGAACAGGATGTTCCACAGACTGTGCAGGACAGAGCTGCCCATGCACAGCAAAGCACAGGGAATCTGTGAACCAAACAGGAGGCTCCACTGCTGGGTTTTGTTTCAGGGCAGTGTTTGTCCAAACCCTTGCCCTGATATCCAGCTCGAGCCACCTCTCTGTGCAGGACCTGTCACACTGCAGGTATTCCACAAACCTCATCTCCTTGTTGGGAGGCTGGGTGGAGATAACCCCGTGTCTGTGCTGGAGCTGATGCAGCAGATTTGTTAAACATTACAGACTAACCAGGAACTGGGAGAGCAGCTGGAAACAGGAAAAAAAGCCCTGAACTCAGGGCTCCTTCAGTCAGAGCTTTGTGACTCAGGGGGAACAAGCCTGTGACAAATGAGTCTGTGCCTGTTTCCCACACACAGCCAAGCAGTAATATTTGATAAAGCAATGAGTGCTGTTTACTGCCACAGCCCTTCAAGAAGGGAAGATGTGTTCCCTGCTCCAGGACCCTTATTAAAGCACTTTGCTTCCCAGACATGGGGAATGCTATTTCCAGATCACTCCCAAGATATGATAAAATTGCATCTCCTTCCATCAATTCCAGAATGCATTTGTAGTTGTTTTGAGTTCTGCCTCCCTAGCTGCCTATCAAGGCAGAATCTTCTGGAAATTTGACACAGTTGTCGCCCAGGCAATAAAGCTGAAGGTAGGGGAGCAGGGAGGTGATGGCTTTTGGTCTGTGTTCAGTGTGACGGTGTGCTGCAGAACCTCCCTGCAGGCTGTGTAGAGTAGATGTTTTGGGGATGCCTTTATTTGTTGGGAGAGACCAAACCTACCCACAGAGCTCTGTCAGGATGAAATCAGAGCGTTTCTTTGGTGCACCATGTCTGATAATTCTCACTCTCTGCTGGTTTGGTAGGTGAGATTTAATACCCACTTTTTTTTTTTTTTTTTTAAACAGAAACTACTCCAAACAAACAAACAAAAGTCAACATGGCTGAGCAGTGATGGATGGAGTTCAGGAGCCAGGATGACAGCAGCATTTATCTTCTCTCAGGTGATGGATGCAGGCTGTCGTTCAGCCCAGTGCTGGATGAGCAGTGCCCTTCACCTTGGCTGGACTAGGTGTGGTGTGGGGGGAGTTTTTTTTTTGCACATCTCTGCTTGCCAGGGTCACATCTGGATTAAGAACAATAAACCTCTGTGAGCCAGTGTTCACACCCAGCAAATTTTCAGAATTCCTTAGATGGCTGCTAATTGAATCATTGCAAACGAAATAAAATCCATGTGCTCATCTTGGAGCAACTGTTTGTTGAACTCCTAGTGTTTGGATAGAGTATTGTCAAATTAACAAATCCCTTTCCCTTGGGAGCTGAGATTTAAACTGGTATTCCTCTGGTCAGGAAGACAGAGGTGGGGAAGGAATTAATCTTTTTTCTCTAAGAAAACAAAGGCAGTAGCCTTATAAAAAAGGGATCGGAAGACAGGATCATTTAGTTCCCGGTCCTGTGGTTTGCTTAAGCAACGTCAGGAATTTGGGGCAGCACAAATCAAACAGTCAGCAAATTCTGAGTGCCCTGGGGTATTGAAAAATGCTTCTGGGGAAGGCTGCTAATTGCATTATGGGTCAGTGCTTCACCATGTGTTGTTTCTGGTTGTTCTGTGTTAAACTGTTCTGTCACACCAGCCTGTAGCAGAATCCTGCAAGGGAGACTGATGCTAAGAGAAATCTCTGCTGCTCTGTGAAGAGACCAACAAAAAGTTCACCCTCCTTCCTTTTTGCCCTGAAAGCCTTGAAACAAAACAAAACAAAACCTGCTTGGGTCAATGATCCTGAACCAACTGTGTGGAAGCAACCAGCCTGGAAGCAGAAAAACACGGACTGGGGATGGCGAGGGACGGGACTATTCCCTTCCACCTCAGTAATTTGGAAGGGGATGTAGGAAAGGCAGAGGATCACTGCAGCACCTAAGAGGCTGATGGCCTCTCTGTTCACATATTTCTAACAGATGTCCTGGCTTTGTGAGCCTGCAAGTGGAGTGCTCAACATCTGCTCCACGGCTCCACGTTAAACGGCTTCTTCTTCCCCAGCTCTGATTCTGCTGAATAAAAATCAAAAAAGGAGACGACCAAGTCTTGGAATGCAAGAAGCAAATGTGGAATCTGGGGAAAACACTGGCCTGTGAATATTTAAAGTATAAAATGCAGCTTGTAGTGGCAGAAACATGGTTTCAAGCTATGAATTTAATGTTGTGCCTTTGCAGGCATGCTTGGTGAGCTGGTCTGTGGCTTTTCCTCTTTTACGTTAAGGCCATCATGGACAGAAATATCTGCTGGGATGATCAGCCTTGCTCCAGTGCACCCTTCAGTCTAGGAATAATCAAATTTAATTGCTTTGTATGAGAAAAGCTGCAGCAGAAACTACCTGATTTGTATCTTTATGCTAAAATTCTGATCCATAAAATGCTGTTCAGCTTGGGTGTACTGAGAAGTGTAACTTAAAACAGGTTGTAGCTGTGCAGTCTGGGGAAAAAACATGGTGTTTGGGTTTTGTATTTAAAGGAGGGATGTGTGTCTGTGTGGGATGACTATAACTTCCTCAAAGCAGTTTTGTCATGGGTGTCTTGGGATAAAGCTTTTTTTTTCTTTTTAAACATGGTGACTGAAATAAGAGTCTCATTTCAGATGTAAAGAGAATCTTTGTGCAGTTCAATCAATCTACGTGGCAAGGAAAGTCTTGAGAGGACTCTGGATAAACGTGTGCTTTTGACAAGGAACTGAGAGGCCACTGATAGTTTCTGTTCTTAATTTACTTTGCAGAAATGCCTCTTTTTCTATAAACACTTTGCTGATGGCCAAGGCCAGGTGGCAGCGCGGTGTCCGGCAGGGATGGAGATGCCCAGAGCTTCCTCTCTGCTGGGAATGCAGATGTGAGCTCCAAAATAATGGCACCCTGTGGACATCACCACGTTATTCCACATGGATTTTGCACCACGGGTAATTTTTGGTGTGTGGGCAGCTGAATTGTGGTGTTGGGGTTCCCCCATCATCCCAGTTGGTGACTCAGATCTGTACTTCTCTTTTTCAGTAAAGGACAACAAGGCTCAGGACGGGTCTAGAAAAAAATGTATATTATAAGGAATGGCTGAGCTGGGTTGTTTACTCTGGAGGATACTCAAGGGCTCTTAATGAACTCCCTGAAAAGATGTTGTAGTGAGGAGCGGGCTGGTCTTGGAAATGGCCTTAAGATGAGACATGGGAGATTCAGATTAGATACCAGGAAAATTCTTGTATTGTCCGTGTGGTCAGGCATTGGAACAGGTACCCACGGGAGGTGGCGGAGTCACCATCCCTGGAGGTGTTGGAAGAGGCATCCACATCTGGCGATGCGGTTTCGTGGTACTGCTGGGTTGACGGTCGGACTGGATGATCCTGACGGTCTCCTCCAACACTGCCGATTCTAAAATTCTAAGATTCTGTGACTCCAAGACGCCGTCCCGGCACCCACAACCCCGGCGGGCGGAGGGTGAAGATGGCGGCGGCCGGGTCCCCTCAGCGCGGCGGGGGGAAAGGAGGGGGGGGGCGTCGCCTCGGGCCCGCCCCGCCCGCCCGCGCTCCCTCCCTCACGCCCCGCCGCCATCTTGCCCGTGGAGCACCGGAGGGGCTGAGCTCCGCCGCCGCCTCTGCCTCTCCCCCTCCTTCCCCTCCGGCCGGGCCGCCTTCTCCCGGGGCCGGGGGGCCGGAGCCGGCAGGTAAGGCCTTCAGCGAGGGGCACTCCCGCCCGCTCAGCCCAGTTCAGCCGGCTGTGTGAGGGCAGGACATCCCCCTTCCCCGCATGGGGTTCCGACGCTTGAGGAATGGGCTACGTCGCCCTCCCCTCAGGGGATGGAGACCCTCTCGTGGGCGGCCCCTTTTCGGGGTTGCTCGGGCTCCCCGCAAGTCCCACAGGTGAGGGGCAGCGGCGTGGGGCTGCGGCGTGCCCGGGCCGCTCTCGGGGCGGAGGGATGGGATCCACGGGGACCTCGGGGCCTCTGTAACCCACCTGGAGCATCTGAAGGACTGGTAGGGAGGTGTGGGCTGGAAAGGTCTGTTAGCCCAGGGGGATCGGCGAGTGTGGAGGGACGGGAAAATTCCCTGTGGGGAGATTGATGAGGATGCGGCTTCCCTCCATCCCATTCCTTAGTACCATGGTTATTCCATCCAGGTATTCCTGCCTGTGTTGCTTCCTGTGTGGACATGCTCAGTTCATGGAAGCATAAAGCCATGTGTGCCCAGTAATTCTTGTGCTCATCATGATGTGTCTGTGTAATTGTGTGCAGCCCAAAAGCCAAGGCAGGAGTTTGTCCTGCAGCCTGTTCTGTGCTGCTTGTGTTCAACCTTGGAAGGCTGGCCCACCTCAAACCAGAAGGTTATGGTCCCATGTACCCCTGTGGAGTCATGTGTTTGCACATTTAATAAAGTTTTGTGAGCTTGCTTTCATCCCAACGCCTGTCTGAAGGTTGATATATCCATATTACTCTTGCAATGCAACTTCCCTGCCCAAACGCACCATAGCCCACTTGTAGCTGCTGAGGTACACAAGCAAGTCCTTGACCTGTAGTTACATGAAGAGCTGTGTTCACTGTTGCTTGTAAATACATCAATTTATTGTGCTGTAAAGTGCACCCTCAGCAATAGCTGGGAGCCAACAACTCATCTTTTCAGATCTCTTAAGGCTCCTTATTTCCCTAATCTATGGAAACAAGGAACACACACAATTGGACAAAAATATGCCTTCTATGAATGCTTTTAGTAGCATGGAAAGTTGCCTCTGTGCTGTTCCCATCCAGGCACACAAGCAGGGTGCTCTCAGGTGCTCTTCTGAGACCTAAACATTTCAGGTCTGTGCTTGCTCTGGTGGAGCTGAGATGGATCTTGAACACCACCATGAATATTTGATGGGTGATGGCCATTAGTTGACAGCTGGGAGTTGTAGGGAGTGAGTGAGCAGCAGAGCAGAGAAACACTAGCTAAGAAATGGGGTTTTATTTAGGTATTTAATTTGAGAGGGATACAGGTCTTGCTTTGGGGGTATGGAGGTACCTTCTGTTTCTAGCGCAATGAAACATTCAGACATTCTGGGGGTAGAAGTTCTTGCTGTTTGTGCTCTGTCTGTGCAGAGTTTGAGAGTTCTGATGACAGGCAGGTTTTCATTCACGGCAGTTGAGCAGAGCTCAGCCTTGCACCAACAGATTTGTTGTTAGGAAGTTCCTGACTTGACTTTGGCTCTTCACAAGAGTGAATTGGGTTCCTCTGACAAAGTTAAATTGAGCCAGACTGTCTGGTTGTAAAGGAGGTGTGAAGGAGTTGCATTACAGACCTCGCCAGCTGTTCCTGTAAATACAAAACTCTTCTTTTTCTTTTAGTTGTTGTTTTGGAGTACTTAATAGTTGATACATCATCAGCTTTTTCTAACCAATTACACATGACTATTAGATAATCCTGTTTCTCAGCAGGCAGATGCTTACCAGGAAAGAAGTTACTGATTTAGCTGTAACTTCTGTTTACTTTGGTTTAAATTATGCCACTCGTATTTCATATTTCCAGTCTCCTACGTAATGCTGAAATGGGTGGTGGAGGGTTGGACTATTTATGCAGCTGAAGTGAAGTGCAGCAGGATTTTGAGTTGAATGCTGCTTCGATCTATGCTGGTCAATGGGATCATTTTTTTCCTTTTATTTGACTAAAATTTATAGTAGAAGTAACCATGAAAATATGATTTACAAAGAATAATAAAAAGATGGAATTCCATCAAATCCTTGGTGAGATTAGTGGTTTGTGCCTATATTTGAAACAAAAAACAAATGATACTGATTTCCTCCTGATATTTTTCTCCTGTTTTCACAGGTGAAATATTGCTTTCAAAGAATGACAACAGCTGCTTCAGCAAGTGGATTTGCTGTGCAAGAGGTCATTATTTACAGCTGCCAGCTTTATTGAATTCTTCCTTACATTTCACCCTTATTTGTAAGTTTATAAGTTACTGCAAAGTAGTGAAAAAAGACTCAGCTATGGAAATAGACTCTTCTCGCCAGGGCCCAGGAGCTCTTTTTAGCTCAGTTCTACCCCTGACTGTCTTTGTGATTTTGGAAAAATCAATGAACATTGCACAGTTCTGGAAAATGAACTGGACAAGCTGATGGAAAAAAGTATCAGTGTTACTGGATGATTGCCTGAGGAAAACAGTTAAAAAGGAAAAAAACCTTGGTGCTAGAGGGTTGTCTTGGGGAATCTTTGAAACACTGTAGGGAAGCTATTAAAGTGGGGTAACAGATTTTAAGAATGCTGGAATATCCAGGGTTCTGGGAGACTCACTTTCTAAACAGAAAATGTGTCATGTTTTGTTTTGTTTTGTTTCTTAACATGGATTTAAATGATCTTTGATCTCTTGCAGTCTTTTAGAAGTGGCAGAACAACTTAGGGTTGATGTTTTGTGTGCCATCTACTGAAATTGGGGCCATCATGAATATCACCAAGGGTGGGCTGGTGCTGTTCTCAGCTAATTCCAATCCCTCATGCATGGAGCTGTCCAGGAGGATTGCTGAGTAAGTAAAGCCTGCAGGGAATCTTGGGGTTATGCTGGTGGGATTTGTTTTACTGGACACCTGATTTCCCTATTTAAAGAAAGTTACATGGGAAAACTGCCATGATTTGCAAGAATATGGAGTGTGCTCTATTGGAGAGTGTGTTTTAACAGCTCAATAATGGAGTAACTTGTGTTTGAATTGTTCTGTGGCAGGTTGTGATTGGCTGCAGCATTTTATAGGAAACACGTGGCATAATTAATGTTTGCATAATGTTAAATCATCACAGCAGAAGTTTTTACTCCTTGTAGTGTATTTTTAGGCAGGAAAGCTACATCCCTTCTGCTCTCTGTATATTTTGGATGGGAACATTTCTTAAGCTTAAATCCATGAATAGCTTCTGCAGAACTTTTAGGACTTAAGTACATTTTTACTGTGCCATTCAGGATGCATGATGGGAATATTAAGACAGGATGGATTTCTTCCAGAAGCTTATTTACCCAAATTTGGGTGTGATAGGAAGAGAACAGGGAGTACAAAGGAATTCAGGATACATGTGGAAAGAATCTGGGCCTGAGTGCACAGCATACTCTGGTCTCCTTTTTGTAGTGATGGGGTCTAGCTAATGCTGACAAGGAATAAATACAGCAGATATTATTCTTCCATTGCCCATAAAATAGTGTTTGCTACTCTTTCCTCTTCACTCCACATTGACTTTTTTCTATAGAGAAGAATAATTTAAAAGCAGATTTTTTAAGTATTGTGCACATGTATGTTGCCACGTGTGTATATATTTATATGTAGGGCAGGAAATACATTAAAAATTATAAAATGTTACATGATTTAGTATTCCAGAGTTTTTTTCTCCTGCAGCTTGTTCTGAGCTTGACTGGAAAATAAGCTTGGCATAGTCTGCAGTGCAGCTTTTGGAAATTGTAGGTGCTTTTTAAAGAAATGTTCACTGTAATTACTGGTTTTATGGTTAGGGATTTTGTTTCCTTGGTTTTCTCCCACAGAATGCAGCCTTTTCAGTAACTGTTGCATTACATTTAGATTTGCTCTTCTTCTCCCCTTCTTGACTTATACCTTTTTTCTGATCCCACAGGCGCTTGGGAGTTGAGATGGGGAAGGTTCAGGTTTATCAAGAGCCAAACAGAGGTGAGCATTAAATTAACAAAATTGGAAATGTACCTGATTAAAATACTAATTTGAATGTATTGGTTCCCCTTTTCTTAGACTCTAAAAAGAATTTTGCTCTTGCAACTATTCCATATTTCTCTTCTTGGCAGAAACGCGAGTGCAGATTCAGGAGTCTGTGAGAGGAAAGGATGTATTTATCATCCAAACGGTTTCAAAGTGAGTAACTGCTTAAAGACCCTTTGCTAGCATTTGATGTGGGCTGTCCATAGGAATGCTTCTGGTTTTTATTTTTAATCACCTTTTATGTTTGTGATGGAGTGTAATAAGCTTAGATTAACTGGATAGAGGCTTTTCTTTGTGGTGCATTTTTGATAGTGGTTTTGTTGGGTTTTTGTATGTACACAAAGACAGCCTTGGCATAAGGTAGCTTCTCTGATTTTAATTTTTAGTGACTATAGCAATAAAACCTTCTCCATGGTCTCTGCATTCCTTCCCTAAGTGTATTCTTTTGCTTTTGTCAATCTCTTTAAATTCTTCTCTGCTCAGCTCCCTGTCTCTAGCACCATCACCAAGTTAAGATGTAGGAGGAACATTTCCTGGGTAATGTGTCCTGTGATTCAGAAATTCTTTAATTTTATGTGAAAAGGACTTTACAAATGTGAAGACATTTTTTTTTTAATGGCAGCAGAAATGCAGGTCTTAGCTGATGACCAGTTCTCTAATAATGTGCCCTCTTCATCTCTGCTGGGTTTAAATACTTCGGTGAATACAGGATTTTTATGCACCAGCTACAGAAGCAGATGTTTCTCGTTGCAGGGATGTGAATACCACAATCATGGAGCTCCTGATCATGGTGTATGCGTGTAAAACCTCCTGTGCCAAAAGCATTATTGGAGTGGTTCCTTACTTCCCCTACAGCAAACAGTGCAAGATGAGGAAAAGGGGCTCCATTGTCTCCAAATTGCTGGCCTCCATGATGTGCAAAGCTGGTAAGAATGTGGCTGTCCTTAAATAATCAGAGCGGAGGGGGCTCCTGCTGTCAGCTTCCAGGTTTAGAGAGATCTGCACACAAATTTGGACTCTGTTTAAAAATAACTGCCAAGGTTTTAATGGGTTTAAAACCTATGTAAAAAGGAGAATGTAATTAGAAATGTTTCCAAATGATGAGTTCATAAAAAACCTAAATTTGATATGACTGTTTTACTTTGAGTTGTACTGAGCTGGTAAAATGAGTCTGCTGGGCTGAGCTGCTTTGGGCTGTGGTATTCAACTCTCATAATACCATCCTGGGCCTTTCTTACAGTCTGGAACAGTTGTGCCTTGTCATTTCTGTCTTGTTTTTTACTTGTTGGATAAATGCACTTTGTCCTTTACATTTGAGACCATGTGGGAGAATGAGATTATTCATTTTCACAGCCTTCAACACATTTTCTACTTCTTTGCTTTCACTGCCATCCCTGGGAAAAAGCAGACAGTTACAACAAACTGTGTGATCTGGGTTGTTATTTTGAGGTTTCTGATTAGGAGCTTGGCCCATTTTTCAGGAATTCAGAACTAATGAGTGTGCCAGGGTCTTGCTGTGTGACATCGGACAAATCAGTGCTTCCATTTTGTCCCATGTCCAGTGGAGAAGGCTCTTGCCTGCCTCAGTGTGGCACTGCAGAGTCAGATATGTGCAGTGTTCTGAGGTTCTTTTAAAAAAATCCCTGTAGAAACCTTAAAACTCATTAATGCCAGTGTGCTTAAGAGGGACTGAAATTAATTTATTGTGTACTTTCACTTAGTGTTCTCATGCAGCTTAGAGATTTTCTGGACAGACTGCAGTGAAACTTAGAAAAATCAGGTGTCTGTTCTCTCTTACTTTCCTTGATGTGCTTTTCTGTATGTCATATTATTTTGTTTTAAAGGACTAACTCATCTTATTACCATGGATTTACATCAGAAGGAAATTCAGGGTTTCTTCAATATTCCAGTTGATAACTTGAGAGCATCCCCATTTTTACTGCAGTACATCCAAGAAGAGGTGAGGAAGGCCTGTTATTACAGTTGATATTTTTAATTATTTTTTTTTTGTCATGTCTCAGGGCATCTGAAACAAATCCCTCTGAAAAGATTAACTCTTCAAACTGAATTTTAAGAGGGGAAGGGTCATGTTGGGACAGCGAGTAGTGTTAGGACCTGTTGGTTCTTCTCTTCCCAGGTTTAACTTTTGCTTTCCTGAAGAGCTGATGTTTTCTTACCCATGCAGCAATGCTGTTTTTTTCTTAGATATATTCCCCTAACACTGAAAGAAAAAAAAGTATTTTCTTGCTCTTAATGTCCTCTTCCTTTCCTATTTCCAGTTTCCTTGACATTTATAGGCTGGGCTGCTTATGTGGGTATAAATTTAAATCCCATAAGAAGAAACACTTTGGAAGTTGTAAACTATGAGAGAGCCTATTGATTGTGCTCTGAAAGTCAGGCTGGTGGGTGGAAATCTCACCCACTGTTTGCTCAGACTGCGTGTCTTGACTTGAGGAGCTTAACTTGGGATATTCTGTGCCTCTGTTTCTCCATCTTATTTTTATAAGGGTTTTGAGAAGTGCTAATGGTAGATTCGCCTGTACAAAATGTGCAAATGATAATTGTAGGTATAAGATGCATGTTAAGCCTCTGACTAATGATAGTTTGGAATAAAGCAAGTGCTTTCTTCCTGGTGAGAGAAAAGGTTTAGCTCACTCTTGCTTTTGAATCTAAGCTATTTCTTTTTATAGAGATAGGAATGCCTCAGTTTAAAAAACAAAACACACCCCACCTCACCCCCTTAAAGAAACTTAAACCAACATGATTTTGTTATGACAGTGTTAAAATCTGTTTGGGGTATCAGTTACCATTTGAATTCCTCATTATCATTTCATTTGGTAATAGAGACAAAGACTCTATTGGCAGAACAAAATTCCAGGCTCTGGCTTTGCCACAGTCATTCATCTTGTGTTCCAGGAGAGAAGTATTGCACATTGTAAGCACTTCCTAACTTGAAAAAAAACCACCAAAGAACAAAAGTGGAAAACCAAATACACAGACACAAGACAAGTTTTGCCTTGATGTGTTGCTTGAAAGTGTGGTTTATGGTCAATTACACGATCATGGTCCAGATTTGGTCTTGAAGCACATTTTGATTCTGGAGCTTTTAATGGTTTACACAGGATTGTTGCAGCTTTGAGTCTGCTGTGCAGTCCAACAAATGACCATTTGTAGAGATCTGAAGTATGTGTAGAGAAGTTTTAAAAGATACTTTCAGTTCTTCATCCCTCTCTGCTCATCCATGAGGGGATTTTCTAAAACCAGAGTTAACTGAATGGATCTGATCATGGGATCTGTACTGGCAAATACCTTCACCAGCCAGATCATTTATCTGTGCTTCAAACTTTGATCCATTGCCACTCAGGGGGAATTCAGAATTCATCTCAAGTTCCTGGTGGCCACAGCTTGCTGGATATCCTGTGCTGGGAGTGCCAGAGCTTTGAAAGCTGTGGAAATGGTGGGATGTACCGAGGAGCATGAAATGGAGTCCAGCTTAATAAGAATGAAGGTCACTTAAAAAACATTTCACTGAAAGTTAGGAGGATGAGGGCTTGTAGTTGTTCCCCGTTGGAAATTTATGCCTAGGTGTGAAGAGAATCACTTGCTGTTCTGGGATGAAGTCAGTCCAATCAGTGAAATCCCTGTGATACGAAAATAATTTGGTGTTTTCCTCTGTGTGCTTGGCAAATGTTGGATATTTTATGGCTTCTTTCCTTTACGCAGGTGTTAATCCCAGAGTGACATAGCCCTTTGTTACATGGATTTGTTGACACCTCAGTGTCTTTGGGATGACACTTCTGGCTTTCTAACTTCATTTTTGAAAAGCCGAGAACAAATTTGGTAATTTGGCAGGGGAAAAATGAGGCAATGGTGTCTGAACTAGATCAAAGCCTTTATTATGTCAAGTGACAGGTCCTGCCTTGTCCATGCCTTCCGTCATGTTAATCTTTGTAGCCTTGTATAACTCCGTGTTTGTAAAGGACAGAACATGCTGAATTCCCAGTTTATAGGTGGAGTTACTAACAGTGTGGATTGTTAATGTTGCCTGATGTCCTTAGAAAATTTCTTGCTTTCTGTTGGTTGAGCCCTTGCCCAAATTCAGAACTCTTTTTTTTTCCCACCCCCATTCCAGGTAGAGCTTTTGAAAATAATCAGCCAGTGCAGTTTGTGTATTGTGGAAGAACTTGCTTTGCCTGTGTTTGCAGAAACCCCAAGTATTTCTGTGCTCTAGAATGGGTATTTGACATCTGACAAGGTGGTGAGCTGCATGACAGGGTGTCATCCCCACAAATCTCTGAATTCCATCCCTAACAGATCAAATTGCAGGTATTTGGTGATGAGTATTCCATCCCTTAACACTGGGATTCTGAGGACTGGACCTGCTCTGTAGGACTTTGCTTGGCTCAGGACAGACAGGTTCTCTTTAAGCTGCTCTCCATAGAGATCATCCCAGGATCATAACAGATAATAAATATATAATAAATAAATAGGTGATCATCCCAGGGCAGCACAGTGAAGGAAAAGTCTCTGTTTGCAAGGAGTGGGGTAAGATGAGATACCAGGAGAAGTGCAGTTGTAGTTGCTGTTGGAAAGGAGAACTGGAAGTGTGAATGGTGGAATGCTTGGGAAGTTACAAGCCAGATAAATCTGATGTAGAGTCACTGTTAGCAGGGAAAATGGACATGAGGGTAAGAAACTTTTGAGAGCTGGGGAGTAAAATGCTGGTTAAAGGGGGATCAGGAGCCTGGAGTGAAAAACCAGCATGAGAATGGGGCAGGGGCAGCAAACTCAGGAGCAGACTGTGTTGGGAAGCCTGAAGCACCTCTCAGACATCAGAGGGAAACACAGAGTTCCTGGTCTCATCCCTCTGGTGCTGTCAGCATTTGCAGCAGCATCTCCTCGTGCTGACCAGCGTGGGAGAGTTTGCAGCACTGTGAGACTGTGCCTCCAGGATCAGTGCAGTGACTGTGGAAGTTTTATGCCTTCTGATGGTCCATAGAAAGTCAGTATGAGGTGATGGAGAGGCGTGACTTTTCTTGGGGTGCTCTATATGACAATAGGAAGTTGTAAAATTCTGGGTTTTAGTGATTAAAGACAATTTGGGTTGAACAGGAAACTTTAATTTTGATGGTTTCCTGGTTTTTTTAACACTTGTGGGTGTAACCCTGATGTCCTAAAGCAGTTACTTCTCTGTTATCTCTACTATAAAATGGGCTTTATAAAAGGTACAGTTTGAAGTTAATATCTGAATTTTCTAAATACATGTTTTTACTGAGCTGTCAGTCCTGATCATGTACCATGGATTCTTGAGGTTACTTTCATAGGTAAAATATTCGATGCTTAAAATTCTTCTGGCAAAATAAAGTTCTCTGATTCTTACTGAGTTTAAATCTGTCTAAAGATATGAAGTGGACATTGCTATCTGTTATTTACTACAGATACCAGACTACAGGAATGCTGTAATTGTGGCCAAATCTCCTGCGTCTGCAAAGAGGTGGGTAAGATCTGCTCTCTTGCCTTAGAGCAGGAAATCTCTGTCGGGATTTTCTTCTTAGGATCAAGTGAAGGACAAATACCCAATAATTAGAAGATGCAGCCTTCACCCCTCCCAGTTCTCCTCTGTCAGCTGTGTAGTTTTTACATCATCGCTGTAATCATAATAAATCTGAGAGTGAAAAAAAATATACAAAAGGATGTGGTAAATCAGTGCAGTGCTTATGATTAAGAAGGTTTTTAATCATGTTATATTTGTGTGCATTTACATTATAAAACTCCTGCTGTAAATGAGGAAAAGCAGCTGGGAGTATAATGCCATTAATCCAGATGACTTTCTTAACACTGGCATAATTAAGAACATGGCTGATCAGATCCTAAATACAGATGGTGAAATGGGGTTTGCTGTTTGAGATGATTGTGATTGTCAAATCTTTGGTGGTTGAATGACTGTTGTTAATCCATGAAGCTTTTTAGTTGACCATTCCTAAACTCTGGAATTACAATGCTGTCAGCAGGTGCTGTAAGAGCTGGATGATGGTTTAAGAGATGCTGTATTCGCTGTGGTGACAAACCAAGGGTTTGTTGAAAAGATATTTAGACTTCCATGCCAACAAATTGTGATACTCCATATTTTCCTTATTTTCTGTAACAAATCAGTTTTTGTCATCTTTTTCTCCAGCAGTACTTTTTGTGATTTCTTTTGTTTTGGCCAGGTAATTTTACATTTGTTTCTTTTCCATTTCTTTTCCACAGAGTATTGCCTCTTGGGTGGAGGCAAGTGTTTATTGCAGCATTTTAATGCTTATCCAGTAATTGTCAATGCCAGCAAAGAGACATGAGTTGCACATCATGCAGTGATTTATGGAGGAGAGGATCCCAGAACTCTATTGTTTAGCTTCTTCACATGTTCCTATGAGTATTTAAGGACAGTATTTGAAGAGTTACATTGTACTGGGAGAGGGATAATTGGATGTTTCAGCCTAATCCAGGCTGAAAACAATCTAGGAAAATACTTTTGATGAATGCCTGCTTGTGAAAAAGAACCCCTGTGTGGGGAAGTTCAGAATGCCTGTGTGGTTTCTGAGCTCACTGGAAAATTAATAAATCATTTGGCTGTTACTTTGAACTTTATTCAGTTTAATACTGCATTTTAAGGTAATTAATATGGTTTTATTGATAGGATTATTCCTGCTAAGTCATAACTCTTAATGTTTGTAATAATAATTATCTGTAATTTAATACTTGCAAAAACATTATAACTGTATGATAACCACAGGGTGGAAGATTCTCCATTTTTAATTAACTGAGTGTCACAATGGGCAAATTATTCTCTGGACTTTGGATTGTTTGGATAGTGAAATAAGGCTTAAGGACAGAGGAGGTGATTCAGGCACAGGTCTGAGGTGCTGATGTTAGAGCAGAGTGAATCACTCTGGATGTGCTGGCCTTGCTTGGACCAGAGGAGGCTTGGATGGGTGGCTTAGGCAGGATCACAAACCCTTGGGTGTGCAAAGTAAGGTGGGATGGATGTGCTAATTTGTATTTGCTGCTTCCAATATCTGGGATGCAAATTCCTATTTTCCTGACTCTCTGCTTTTCCCACTCCCCCAACTAGCCTTACACTTCTTTACAGAAATTTCTAATTTTAGTTGAAGAAATGCTGCAGTGTGAAGGAACTTCATGTCAGCTAATTAAAATCCAAGCTGTTCAACTCCAAGTGTGGTTTGTCAGGCAGAATGATCATCTAGATCCCCTTTTCCATAAGGTATCTCAGGTTATGTGTCAGCAGGTCAGGGATATTGTCTTTATTTAGTAGTAAATAAATAGGTGAACACTTGTTTTCTCTTTTGATATGAGTAATTTTTTTCCTATTAAATGTAGACAATTCAGACATCAGGGCTGTTCTTGGTTACTGTTAGATGTGTCCTGCTAAAGCCTGGGATTCCAAGGATGCTGAAGTGTTATTTTCTACACTGGGAAGTGTATAAGGCTGGGAAGTGTTATTTTATTTTGGCTGTTGGGCGAAGCAGAAGGGAGTAGTCAGCATTTTGTGACTTGCAGCATTTATCCTGTTGCTTTAAGGCCCATATGGATGTTCTGAAAGTCATTCTAACTTTAACAAACCTGATAAAAACAAGATACTGAGGGGCAACTGATTTCTTCTGTGAATTCTCCTAAAATTTTTGGATCGTTTGACTTCCCTCTGAAACATTAGAAATAAAATGAAAATAGGTTAGGATTGTACACAGGTGAATTATTTTAAATTTAACCTTTTCCTGGGTTCTGTTAACCCTTCCCCTGCAGGGCACAGTCGTTTGCCGAGCGCTTGCGGTTGGGAATCGCTGTGATCCACGGGGAAGCTCAGGATGCTGAGTCTGACATGGTGGATGGTCGGCACTCCCCTCCTACAGCCAAATATGTAGCTGCTATCCACCCCAGCCTGGAGATCCCCAGTAAGTAAGTGTGTGTGGGAAGGTGTTACCTGGTGTTTTTGTGGGTTTAGGGATTTGGTTTGGCAGGCATGGACAGTCTAAAAGGAGCGGTTCTTCGCAGAGAAAAAAGAAAAAATACATCTTTCATAGTGGGGAGAATATGATTCCTTCTTGCTTGAATGTGGATGTGACCTACAGCTGCACCTCCAAAACTGCAGGGCATAAACCCAGCGTGGCTGTCAATGGATGACTGAACTGGTTGTGTCTGCGAGCCGCTCTGTTTCTATGTTGAAATTAAGAATTAATTGAATTGGTAAAGAATTCAGGTATAAATTAATACAGTTAATATTTTAATTAAGCTTAAAAAATGATTTATGTATTAGAATCCTGCTGGTTTTCTCAGTAGTGCTGTTGAAATAGTTGCTGCTTCATGTCTCTAATAGTGATGACCCATCAGCCATTTCCATAGTTCAAATAAATTATATAAATTTCCTCTTTTCTTTCTCTTTTTTCTTTCTTTTCTTTCTTTCTTTTCTCTTTTAATCAGTGCTGATTCCCAAGGAAAAACCACCCATCACAGTTGTTGGAGATGTAGGAGGAAGAATAGCTATCATTGTGGTAAGTGAGATGGCATCAGTTCTCCTAAATCATATTAAACATGTTAAAGCTGCAGAAATCAAGTATCTGTTCCATATCAGCCACTAAACTTTGGTTGCTGGTGGACTTCTGGAGAGGATGGGGCAGCACTGAGTACACTCACAAAGCTGGCTGGGAGCTCTGAAGGGATCCACTCTGAAAGCAGCACTGGGACCTTGTTTCCATGAGCAGAGCAGGTGAAATTCAGTTCAGTGCTTACCTGAAGGGGTTCAGCTGCTGCATGCACACCACAGGAGGGGAGAGTCACCCTGTTCCTATTGGTGACTTTAGAAATGCCAGTGAAGCTGAAGTGATGGACGTGGACTTGTTGGAACAAGTCTGGAGGAGGCCACCAGGATGATCAGAGGGATGGAGCAGCTCTGCTGTGAGGGGAGGCTGAAAGCTTTTTTTTTCTGGATTGTTCAGCCTGGAAAAGAGAAGGATCTGGGGTGACCTAATTGTGGTTTTCCAGTACCTGGAGAGGGCCTGCAAGAAAGATGGAGAGAGACTATTTATAAGGGCCTGCAGTGACAGGACAAGGGGGAATGGCTTCAGACTTACAGGAAAGTAGGGTTAGATTGGATATAAGGAAGAGATTCTTCCCTATGAGGGCAGTTGTGGCTGCCCCATCCCTGGAAGCATTCAAGGCCAGGCTGTGTGGAACTCTGAGCAAAGGTCTAATGGCAGGGCTTGGAATGAGATGATCTTTAACGTCCCTTCCCAACCCAGGCCATTCCATGATTCCTTGATGCACTCATGATTTCTCTAAAGCAGAGTGTAATTTCTGGGCTTGTCAAGAAAAAAGAGCAATTTTCAGATAGTTTGGGGTTTGTTACGCTTGGTAAAGCTGTGCTGCCAGTCAGATGTGCTCTGTTGGTTTGTCTGGTGTGGTGAACCCTTGGTGACTGGGATTTTGGCAGGATGACATCATAGATGATGTTGACAGCTTTCTGGCTGCAGCTGAGACCCTCAAGGAGAGAGGGGCCTACAAGATCTTTGTCATGGCCACCCACGGCCTGCTGTCCTCAGACGCTCCCCGGCTGATCGAGGAGTCTGCCATCGATGAAGTAAGTGTGGAATCTGAGCTCTGATCCAATGATTTGGGGCTTCTCTAAGCAAGCAGTTCTCTCCTGTTTTGATTATTGACACATATGTCAATAACCAGGTTCCTGGTTCAGGCTTTCTTACTCTGGAATTGTGTGGCTGGAATGTTAGCATCCACATGTCTTTTAACTATAGCAGTGGGAAATGTGGGAAGTGGCAAGATGCTGGACACCTTTCCCTGCAGTGGGTGGGATATTTTTGTACCTCCTCTGGATTTGTCTGGCTGAATGAAAGGAAGGAGGGTCAGTGCCATTAGTATCCATGGATACATGAAACCTATGGCAACACATGGCTCTTCCAAAGATTGTGACCCTGGCAGTAATGTAAAACATTGTTTTGTCAGCCAGAGTGGTTTTGTGGGATCTGTGAAACTCCATTTCACATATGAAAGGTGGAAAACATAACAGAGCTACGTTTTCCTGATCACTTTTTCTTCCTATAGGTGGTTGTTACAAACACAATTCCACACGAAATACAAAAACTTCAGTGCCCCAAAATCAAGACTGTGGATATCAGCATGATCCTGTCAGAAGCCATTCGCAGGATCCACAATGGGGAGTCCATGTCGTACCTTTTCAGGAATATAGGAGTGGATGATTAAAGCTTCTCCCTCTAAAGAAGCACCCCGGGCCAAACTGGAAGCGAACAGAGAATGAGCTGTGAAGCATCGTGCTTACCTTAATATTTCCATTGAGCCACTTCTTGTTTTCTCTTGGTTTAAATATCAAGGTAGAACAGTTTTTAAGACCTGTTTGGTTGTTGTTTTTTTTCCCTTCGCAGGGGTTTTTTGGGGGGTTGGTGGGAATAAACGTTTTACAAAAAACTGTTCTAGTTGCTTTTAGGTTAGTTGCACTATACAGGATGGAAAAATCCCACAAAACACTTGAGGCAAGAATTTGGCTTCTAAATTAATCATTCCTTTTCCAAAGCTGCTTGCTACAAGTGCTTTAAATGATAACAAAATGAAGTGACTGTATAATATTTTCATTTTAAAAGCCAAAAAGGTCGTACTGTTGTATGCAGTTCAGTGATTTTGTAGGAGTGCTTTTATAGAAAAGCATATGGAATATGCACCTGTATTTATTTTCTGCAACAAAGAATAAAGACTTGTTTTGTGTGAGCTTTCTAAAAATGTTCATGTGCTGCTCCTTTATCTTCTAAACTGTGTCCTTAAATATGGCAGGTGGATGTCAGGGACTTGCTCAAACAATGGCACAGATTCCCAGAGAAGTTGTGGCTGCCCCTGGATCCCTGGAAGTGTCCAAAGCCAGGTTGGATGGGGTTGGAGCTGGCTGGGATTGGGGAAGGTGTCCTTGCCAGTGGCAGGGTTTTGGAATGAGATGATCCCTCCCAAACCAAACCATTCTATGATTCTTTGACTTGGGAATATTGTGGGGGGTTGTAGGTTCCAGCTGGTAAAACCCAAATCAGCTCATCACAGGTAAGCTGGGGAGTTTTTTTGAGGTTTTTTGCCTGCCCTGAATGATGAGCTAAAAAATACGCCATAGTGCAGAGCTGAACTTGTCCAGGTTTGTTTTCCCAGCCCTCTTTGGGCAGGTGTGGGTGGAATGGCCGGCTGGCTGCCAGGCCAGAGACTCCAAGCTCCTCACCTGTTGCAGAGAAAACAGTGGTGGAATTGATGAGCATTTGGAGGTTGTTTGGTTTAATCTTTCCATCATGTCCTACAAATGAGTATAAAGCTTTTGGCGTGTTCAGAAGTGAAAATTAACCTTTGTTGACACCGTTTCTATGTTGGAGACAAACTTCCAAGGACTTTGGAGGGGTTCATTGACTTTAAAGTATAAAATCAGGTGCTTTCCTTAATGTTAATGGATACACCAGGCTGATTTATTGACATGTGTGGGTACTTTGGATGTGTTAATGCAGGTCAGATTCCAGCTGAGCATTGAGGGGGAAGGTTGGTTCCTCTCACAGATGTGTAGAGCTGCTCCCGGTGCTGCCGCGGCTCCTTCAAAGAGAGGAGAAACACTGACCTGGCTCAGCGATGGGCACATTAACTGCACCCTGATTATTTTATTAGTGAGACCTTGTGGAAGTGTGGAGCCAGACAAGCATCCAGCACAGCGAACTGATGGCTAAATACCCCCAAACAAGGAATTCTAAGGTGGTTTCCTGTGCCTATCTCGTGTTGGCCTTTAGAGGAATTGCTGTGTTTTCCTCTCTCCACAGCTCCCTGACAGGAGGATGCAGCCAGTGGGGGTTGGTCTTTTCTCCCACTTAGCAAGTGACAGAGCAAGAGGAAACTATCTCAGCTTGTACTAGGAGAGGTTAGGTTGGATATTAAGAAAAATCTCATGGGAAGGGTTGTCAAGCACTGGCACAGGCTGCCCGGAGCAGTGGTGGGATCACCAGGGATTGCAAAGCAGTTTAGTGGGGGTGCTGGATGGTTGGACTCAATGGTCTGTGAGGATTTTTCCAGGCCAAATGACTCTGTGATCCCTTCTCTGGGGGTCTCTCGTGGTCAGCCCTTGCTGCCATGCCAGGCTCCAGCTCAGGCATTCACCCAACTCCTGTTTCATCTCTGCCTTAAAACACAGAAAACCCCCAACTTTGCCTGGTTTCATGCAGTGCAATTATGATATTGATGAGGGCTTTGGGAACAAACTTTATCCATAAGGCTGGACTGCTGGTCCTTTGGCTATTGATAGTATTGGAATGGTGGAAAGGGGGGGAAGCACATGAGGCATCACTCAGACATTTCTCGACCCTGCCCATTAGTGAGAGACCAAAATCAAGCCGTTTTGGGGAGTGGAGAGGGGTGGGAAGCAGCCAAGGCCAGACTGCCCACCCAGGCACCTTTGGAAGCACAATTCCTGCTGCTGGGCTGTTTAATGATAAGTGCCCTTGGGCTGCTAAGGAGTTACTGATTCGGTGACTGTCCCTGTGAGGCTGAGGATGAAGAAGGAGGCAGAGGAATGAAGGAGCTCAATTCCACTGCTGGATCTGTTACCCCCTCACAGCAGTTCAGCGTTGCTGACCTTGTTGTTGTAGTGGTTTATTTTTCCTTAAACACTGGCGTGGGAATATGGGTAAGAGTCTTTTGTTCCTTTCTGCTTTCTTGTTAGAATAGGTTTTCCTTTCAGGGCTGTTTTTTCTGCATGGACTATTTGAAAGCTTCTATTATTTTCTTGTTGTTTTCACTTGTGTATTTTGTGTATTGTGCTGTGTGGAGCCGGGCTGGGAGAGCTGGGGGTGTTCACCTGGAGAAGAGAGAGTTCTGGGGATACCTTAAAGCCCTTTCCAGTGCCTAAAGGGGCTACAGGAGAGCTGTGAAGGAACTTTGGAAAAAGAGCCTGGAGTGATAGGACAGGGGGAAATGGCTTCTCACTGCCAGAGGGCAGGGTTAGATGGGATATTGGGAAGAAATTCTTGCCTGTGAGGGTGGGGAGGCCCTGGCACAGGGTGCCCAGGGAAGCTGTGGCTGCTCCTGGATCCCTGGAAGTGTCCAAGGATGGGACTTGGAGCAACCTGGGACAGTGGAAGGGGTTTGGAACAAGATGAGCTGTAAGTTCCAATCCAAACCATTCCGAGATTCTGTGACTTCTCTGTTTTGTATAAGTCCTCTGCCCCTTTCACCCCCCTTGGGAAAGGCTCCTATAGCCTGGGAGCAAGGTGGAATTAACCACAGAATTAACCAATTAACCATCTCTCCCCCAGCCTCAGTCTGCTGGGTGTGAGCAGCTCTGCCCCTTGTCTATTACAGGGTGTTGAGCCAAATGCCCTGAGAACAGCCCTGATAACAGCAACAACGATCAGCTACAGCAGTTTCACAGAAACACTCCAATTGCATTTATTCTGCCTCGCAGAAAAATCCTGGCCAGAGCAGTGTCCTATTAGCCAAGCTGTCTGCTGGGGATGGCACTAGGACAGGAACATCCTCCCTGCTTCCCCCTCTCCAGGTGCTTCCTTTGCTATTCATGGCTCCAGGTACCTGGGGTGCAGCCACCCTTTCGTGTAATTAAGTTCGAGTTGCAGAGCTCCCATTAATTATCGAGTCTCCTGTCTCTTGGCTTCTTGTCTGGGAGACTTGGTCCTGGTGACTTGTCTGGGTTTTTTAGGGAAAGGGTGCTCTGTGCTGATCTTTCCTCCTCCCAGTCTTCCTGCAGGGTGGACAGGAACACCATCAGTGGCTGTTCCCTTGCTGGGAGAGACGTGGCTTGGGTGGACAGACAGACCTCTGTCCCTCCTGTGATACCCTGGGCACGGGGACATCACCACCACTGCCACACTGAATTCCCCCCTGCTTTCTCCACTGCTTGCCCACGCTTTCCCTCACCCTGTCCACCTCCTCCTGCCAGAATCTGTGTCCTTGGAGCTCCGTTTCCTTTCTCATTGCACAGAGGATGCTGGAGTTTGTTGGAGTTTATTGGGTCTTCCCCAGGCTACTCTGAGCTTGGGGAGGGATCCATGGAGCCAAACATCCATCTCCAACCATTCCTGCATGCTCCTGCTGACTCCAACGAACTATGGCTCTCCCATATTTCTTTTTTTCTCCCTCTTATTTCTGTCTGACCTTGACAGACTGGCTGTTGGTCCTTCCTGTGTGGCTCCATGCACAGGGGCACCTCTAGCAGGGTTTGTGGCCACTGTGGCAAACACAGCAGCGTGTGGCTCCTCATCCTCCTGGAGACAAGAAAATCACTCCCAAACCCAGCAGGGATGTCCAGATGAGCTGAGTTGTGGGAGCATCACGTTCAGCTACCTGAATTTTATGTCTTAAAGGTTTTTCTTGCTAAATACACACACACCCCCTCCCCTCCATCCCACGTTGGGGCTCTTTGGCCACATTTTACTTTAAGAAGCGATGGGGACCTTATTTTTTCCACCTTCTTTTCCCGAGTTATCCCCTGGGGAAGCACCAGAGCTGGTCCAGCTGGCACAGCAGCCGTGCCAAGCCGCGGGGAGCCGGGGTTGGGGCACCTGTGAGCACCTGCAGCTCCTCCCCTGCTCCCCGCAGGGCTCCGGGCTCTTCCTCAGCCCCGCCGGGGGAATCGCTGTCGCTTCCAGTGGAATGTAAGAAATGTGTCGTGTGATTAAGACAACGAGTTCTGTCGCAGCAGATGGGCCATTTCACAGTCTCGAAAGGTTTGGGAGGAGCCGCGCAGGGGGGTAATTAACACAACTCTGCTAATTCAGCTTCTCCAGTGCCCTTCGGTGAGGCTGGAGTCAGCTCCACGTACTCAGGGAAAAGGACATTTAGGAGCCGAGTTCCTAATCCAGCCCCTGCAGGTCCTAACAGGGGCGTGACTGAATAGATCACCCCTTCCCTGCTTCCCCAAGCGTCCTATCCAAAGCCCTTGGGTCCTGCTGGAAAAGGATAAAAAGGCATTTGGCTTGTTTGGAGCTGGTGGGAAATGTCCAGTGAGGAGCTGAAGGGCTGAGGGATGCCAGGGGGTGTCCACCATGTCCCCACACCCAAAAGGGTATCAAGGGTCTCTGAAGCCATTTGTGGGTGTAAATGTGCTCTTGAGGGTGAGCCAGGGCTGGATCAGGAGCAGAGACAGGGTCTGGGACTGCAGCCAGCGTTGAGCTGCAGCAATATCCTTGGTTTTTTCTGTCTCTTTCCTCCTTCCTGACAGGCAATTTATGCTCTTCTGGCACTGGCCTGGGTGTTTGTGCCTGTCTGCATCTCATCT